CCAGTGACACGAATCGCCGTTTAATAACGTTTTTCGTTTCAATATAAACGTACGCCCGATAATGTTGAAACGACAGTGGAAATAGCAGTAAACTGCACAGAGGTTGAAAAGTTGGTTGGTCCCGTTGTACTTTAGCGCGGTGAATGCACGTAATAAAAACGTGATATCTACGTTGGCCCGACACTTTGGCAACCGGAGTTGACAGTATTTCATCCGTCCAATGACTCTCGGAAATGTTCACTCGTTGAGTATACTTTTGAAATATGTCTTTATCCATAAACATGAGGGTAATCGATAATGCTCATTAGGCAGAAGAATTCCCTAAATTCCTTGAACTTCCAGTTGAACTGAAGTGATAAAAATTTGTCAAGAAGTTTACCGGAAATATCAGTCAAAAATGTTTAGTTAATTCGATTAATATTACTTTGAAATTGAATTATTCACGACAATTTCCAGTGAATTCAATTGTGAAATTAATGTATCCGCATTTCCATAAGCCCATTAACCCCCGTAAATAATAAACACTAAGCGTGATGTAATAAATCTCTCCGAGTTCCGAAAGAAACAACACGAAACATTTTCAACTTGTTAAGTTTAATTATCGAGCACGAGGCAAGGGTGCCTTTCCCCAGAGATAGTTGCCGGCAAAGATCTACTAAGCTGTGTGTGATTCACGTATACGCACTGTAGTCCCAGAATGTACATACATGCAGAGTTAGCAGGAAGTGCAGACGGAAGTAGTGGAAGGGAGAGGGAGGGAGATAGAGAGAGAGAGAAACCCCGGGGTATTCCACGGAGTAAATCCCATCCGGTTGGATTTTAACTTGGAATTTATTGTTGACCCGAGAAATTATTGTCTTCCAAACTGCCTTTCCCGGGTATACGACTGCCGCTGGGAGTGGGCTTGGGGTAAGTGAATTGAGGGAAGTTGTAGAATCAATATTAAAAATTTGAAATTATCTGATTTGAGACGTTCAGACATGCATTCTGAAAATTCTAGGCGTTTTCGGCGAGAATTTTTTGTTACAAATTTATGCTCCATTTGTTTTTCCAAATACTTCATTCATTTTTTCTCAGTTATCGACGTTGTTGCATTAAATGTCAATGATTTTTTCACTGATACTAGGATGATTGGCAGTGAAAACATGCAGTGGAACAGATTAACTTGAGGCAATTTAATTAATTTGATAGAAGGAAATTTAATATCTTTCAGAAAAATTAAATTTTTGTCGTGATTATCAGAAATCTCTGGAATTCTCTGGAAGAATTCGAACTGTTGGCAGCAAAACAATATAATTTATTGAGGAATAGATGGACGAGAAAAAAATATTTTTTCCCCAAAAAAAATTGTCCCCTCGAAATTATTTAAAGCAAAGTTTAAATAATTATAATAATAGCACAGCATTTAACACACATTTTTGTGTCTGATGTCTTAAATTAAGACACCTTGAAGACCCTATGCTAATTCAAAATGCAAGTCTTAAAACGGTCCATTTAAAAATTATTAATCAACAATTCCAAAATTCAATAATGTGATCAAACAAAATTTTTAGATGGCACTCGAATTCCCTCAAGCCCCTCCGTTCAATGTTCTCCACTCATTAAATAACATTGAGGTCGACAGCCATGATGAGCTATGCTTTGTAGGTCACATAAAAATTTATCACCCTGGGATATATCAGTTTCGTGAAAACCAGGTTGTGTCAATTAAATACGTCGCCCTGAATATTCATATTCCTATTCATATTTCATTTGAGAATGAATCAGGGGATCGACAGTTGAATTTTTATGTGATGAGAGAGAAATTAAAATTGCTGATGAATCAAACAACGAATCAACGATAAACAGTTCTCCTTCACGGAGAGAAAAATTCAATAAAAATTACCAGAAAAAAACGTCAAAATTAGGTTTTGAAACGTAATCCGCGAGCGAAGTAAAATTCAATAAAAAGTGTGAGCTGTGGGGACAAGTCGTTCCGTAATTTTTCCCCAAAGATTGAGAAATTTTATGGAACGAAACGTAAAAATAACTCATCAGGTTCATAAAAATTGTTGAACGTTCCAGAATTTTTGATTTTCGAGGCATAATAAGTCGACAAGTTTCTGTAAGATTTGACTTCTTCGGGAAAAATGACGTGACAATTTCGTACTTTGTTCGGTGATGAACCTGAAAATTCACTGAACGTTTCAGATTTATTCTCTTCCATTCCTATAAAAATATCCGGAAAACGATTCCCCATTGCGGATTACGTGAATTGTTCCGTGATTTTTACTGAATATTTCTCTCCGTGTTGATTAATATTCAATTGATAAATGAGAATTAAATATTTCGCTCGGTGAGCGCTGGTTACGCGAATTTATCGAGCGCGTAAGGCGTTCGTAGGGCTCTTGGCCGAGGGGAGAAGGGATGAACTAATCTATCGCGAATAGTTTTCACAAGTTTACGATTATAACTGGTGAAACCGGATGACGCTATGAAACAGTTTGGGGCTCTTGTTTCGCGAAATACCGTCGGTGTAATAGACAGCTTTAGGGGTATTCCACAGAAGCTGGTAAAACTCTCGTTTAGTGCGCTGTATATGGTGCAGTTGGGGTACTTGGAGGGTGCTGTATATGCACAACTAGATGTGGATCAAACAAAGTGTTTTATCCACTTATAAAATCTCGAGGAGAATGCAAAAAAAAGAGTGCGAATATAGGTTTTTGCGGATGGAAACGGGAAAAGCCCTAAGATAGACTCAACGTCAACATGAAAACGTAATTGTCGTATGAATTGAATCGTGTGTTCTGTCGGGAATTTTTCTTCTTATTATAGAAATTTTAAGGAATTTCGTAGGTCAAAAGCCAAAGTTTTATGGAAAACTAAATTTTAGGTGATTTATTCGATGAAAATCAGGAAATTCAGCGCAATTTGGGGCTCAGTATTTCTATTTTGATTCAAAATTCAAATCAGTTGAGGAATTGTCGTTCTTTTGTGTCTCAAAAATTTGGAATTTCACAGTTGAAAATTTTGTTTAATTTCCGCTGAAATTTCAGGGAATACTGCCACTGAAAAATTACATATTCTATTGATTTTCTGCTTGAATAATCTGAAAATTAATAAAATACTTGATTTTTCAGTTGAATTATTCCGTGAAAATTCAGAAAAATCAGGAAAATTGAGGGAAAAATTGAAAATTCATGTAATTTCTCCCCTAAATCTGATTCAATGTCACTCTCCCATGAGATTTATCATTTCTTTTTCTAACAATTTGAAAAAAAAAATGTTTCTGAAAAATGTTAAATTTCCTTCTATCCAGTTGATTAATTTCCCTCAAGTAAATCTTCTCCACTCTATCAATTTTTTCTCTCAACGCAAAAACTTCAATGGACACACATTACACACAGTAACATAGAAACACTGGATGACTCCCTCAATTCATTCAAATGGAAAGTGAATTGCCAGGCAGTTGCATCTCAAAACAGGATATAGAGTGCCTTCTCAGGATCATATTGAGACTGAAATATCCATGTGCACAACCGAATGTTACTGCTAACGTAACTGCTGAAATAGAAACCCTCTCTGCAGATACGCCCTGTCCCTCTGGGCATGCTGCGATGCAGGTGACCCGACCTACATTCGAATCTGGCACGAATTTCGACACCAACCCCGCTCCTGACGCTCCCTCTCTCTCTCTCTCTCCCCCCCCCCCCCCCCCCCCCCCCCCCCCCCCCCCCCCCCCCCCCCCCCCCCCCCCCCCCCCCCCCCCNGTAGTACTGTGACAACGGAATACGTTCATCTCCAGTTTCATCCGCCACTGAATCTCCCTACTTCAACTGAACGGATTAGCATATTTCAGATATCTTCTGAGAGTGTCGACGATTTATATCACATGAGCCGCATAAACAATATTATGCGGATGATTCCGGAGTGACTGAGTGTCGTTAGAATTTTCGTCGAGGTATTCCACAGAAGTGGATTCTATTCTCTTTGTAAAAAGTGTGAAGTTGTCTTACATCGAGGCTTTTTTTTTATGGTGTTAGAAATACATGTTATCAAGTGATCAGAAAATTTTATGCCACCTGAGCCCTCAAAGTTTACACAACTTGACATATTTGATTCAAGTATATTTTATACTCAAATGGGGGATGGATGTTTCAATTCGAGGCTGATTATTTCGTATCAGCCCGGGTTGTACCAAGCGCTCACAAGTGTAATATAAGGGTCAGACACTGAGTGTGAGAATATAAGGGTCAAAAAGTGGAGGTTAAAAAATGAGGGTCGGAGTATTAGAGTCAAAAATTGAGGGCCTGAGGGTAAAGGTGAAGGAATGAGGGTCAGAATGTTAGTGTCAGGCAGTGAGGGTCATACAAGGGCTAAAAACGGTGATCAAGCATAATATATGAGTTATATTCAGACTCTCATTGCCTGACATCCACTTTTTGACCCTTATATTCTGACACTTAGTGCCTGACCCTTATATTACACTTGAGAGGGCTTGCTGCAACCCGGCCTGAGGCAAAAGCATCATCTTCGAATTGAAATACCCATCCCCCAATTGAACACATTTTTTTTCGTGAATGTCTTGAATTAAGACGTCTTGAACGCACTAGTCATCAGAGTGTAATATCCAGCATTGTTGGCTGATCCAGGAAATGAAACTTTTGCCCACCAACATGAGCCCTGAAAAATCAATGATAACAGCTTCTGGTTGCCCAGAAGTTTTGCAAGATCAAACGTTAAAGAGAAACACCAACAGACTCCCCGAAGTTATCAAACGAATATAGCCCGAGTTAACTCGATTTCGAGGGGTATCTCGTGTAAACCCCACTCCCTCTTCCCCAATTCCCAGCCGCGTTAACACAGTTTATAATCGCTGCAGTGCATGTGGCCTATGTACTTGTATGTAGTTGGGAAAGTGAGAGTCAACCGCAAGACTATTGGGTGGCAGCAACGCCTGTCGTATCATCGGTTTTCTACTTCATTTAATCTTCCATGGTTTCGGAAATACGAGGACTTACCTGATTGTTACAGATCTTGTATTTTATGCTCCATGATTTTCCTTTGCAGGGCTTACGCCGGCAGCGTCTCTGTTGCCGGGATATTCCGCCTCCGCAGTTTCTGGAATTATGAGGGATTAAGTCAATTATTATGGAATTGAAAGGAAAGGAATTGAAAAGTTCTTCGTGAATTCAATTATTTTTATTATTCAATCAAATTTATTATTAAAAACTTTGGAGGATTACTGAGAAGTCAAAGTAATTGTGCGCTTTTTACTGTATATCGAGGGGAGAAATGCGAATGGAATCCTTAATTTTCTGCGCTTGTTCTGAAAAATTTATTAATGCTCATGGAATTGGTCATTTTTTAATAGTTTTCTTTACTGTTCAAATTTTTTTGGCTGAAATTTCAAGGAATTTCATAATCTTATTTTCTTGAAAATGAGTGTCCCTCTCCTGGAAATGGCTAAATTTTTTAAATAATCTAAAATTCTTCTTTCGTCATTCATTTAAACCGAAAATTTTCTCCATTCTCCTCAACAAAATTCATCCAACACAGCAAGCCATGAAGTACTCTCTCCCCTCACTGTAAACTGCATCCTCTCAAACTTGAATTTCTCCTAAATTCATACCAGTAAAAATGTTACATTCAATTACACCCGAGGCATTGTATCCAAAGTGAAAAAAAAATCCCGAGCAACAGAATTATTTTTATTTCTTCCTTCCTGCACACGAGAAGGCAGAACTAGGTCTGGCTAAACCGACCCGCTTGGAAACTCACACTTTATGAGAATGAACGTGGCACCGTGATATACCCCGTGATTTAAAAAAAAAAAAACTTTAGGGAAGAAATATAAAAGTCCGGTGAGGGTTTTGAAATTATCGAGGACGTGAGAGTTTTATTTGGCATGGGTCGTAAAATAGATGCTGTAGTTCACGTAGTTGCTGTCTGCACGGCGTATTGCAGTGAGTCGTAAAGTACAAAGTCCTTGTGGGACATTGAACACGGTCAGTGGATGATATTGACTTGAGTTCATCTGCAAATTAATTCATCCGATAATTAATTTTTTGGTTTTCCATGGACGGAGAGAAAAGTTGGATAAAAATTAGCTAGAAAATCAAACAAATTTTAGTCAGATATTTTAATCAGACAAATTTTACGGTAGAAAAGGTAATCGTGAAGCGAAATGTAATTCAAAGGAAAAATATCTGCTTGCGGAGGATATTCTACGATTCGTTCGGTAAAAAAAAAAAACGTTTACTGTTAGAAAATTACAGTCCATTACAGTCTAAAATTAAGACATTAAGACGTACATTCGAGGACTCTAACTGTTTTCCCCAATCGTCTTGTCTTTAAACAGGAAAAATATCTAATGTGTCAAATTAAGAGTTGAAACTTCTAGTTTTAATTCTGCAAATGCTGGAAATAGAGCACTTCAGGTTAGAGTCACTCCAACAGTTAAGATGAGCATATTTCTGCAAGAACCCAAAACATTTCAGTCAATTTCACTTAAAAATCCAGAATAGTCACGGTGAATGTTGAATGTTCAGTGGAAATGTTCAATTTCTGTGAAATGAACATTATTTTCGGAACAAGCGACTCTATTTGAAGATGTGGAAACAGCTCTTTCACATGTCTCTTTGAGCGACATGTGAAGTTGAACCTTTTAAGGTAGTCGTTGTTAAATAGGTTAAATAAATGAAATAATTAATTAACAAATAATGCTCTCATTTGATTCACAATTATTGTTGCCGAATAGAAGGACTCAATACACGGAGAGAAATTTTTATAAAAAATTTCTCGGGATATGTATTGTCTCGGATATATCTTATTATTTATTTTTCAGGACCCGAGTGATTCTCACCTCGTGCATGGAGACCACTTCGACCACGGCGACCACTCCCCCCAGGGGACAGCCTGAAACAGAAAAACATTTGAATTATTTTCGACTGCCGACCGGTATGTTCATTATCAATCACTCAACATATGAAAATAGTACAAACCCTTTCACAAGTTTATCAATTATTGAACTTGTGGATGGTATTTAGTTCCCCCTCTCAACTCTTAATAACTCATATACTTCAGGTTCGTCAACGCCTGCAGCTCAAACCCCTCCACAAAGTTTTAATGAAGCTCTTGCGATCGATCAATGTGCGGAATAACTTGGCTTATCAATTTTACAACATCATCCGTTCGATATGAGTTGAAGAATTAAACACTGAGGAAATTTTCCTATCGAATTGAGAACACGGGTTCTTCATCCTTCGTTATTTACCTGGTTTTCGAACAAGTTTTTCGATTTCGTTTCTCTCAAACAAATCTTGCTTGAGCCAAGAAAATCGCGAGTTAAAAATTCCCAAAAGGAAAATTGTTTAATTCGAATCCGAGAGTCCTAAACATGAGTATCTGGCTCAAAATTGTATCTTTTCGGCATGAAAATATCTCCTAAAGTTTATCGAGAAATATTTTGTCATCGTCATTATTATTTTAATTGAGCATTCAGTTCTGATCTGTCATTATTGAATAGCCGAAACGAAAAACTATTGTTCCTTATTTCGCGTGTTTGGGAGCAAAATACGTCTCGGAGTATAGATTCTGCTTGCACAGAGAATAATTTTTTTTTGAACAACTATACCCATTTTTGCGACAACAATTTGGCGTTTCAGGACAATCTTCATTAATTAATTTTCAAATGGCGGTTTTTTGGCTCGAAAAATGATGAATGATATTCACTCAGTTTTGATCAACACTGTTAAAAAAATTGGCTGAATTGACCGAGAAAAAAAATTGAATTTGATTTCAGGGGAAAAAGTCAATGTAATTTCAAGGTTCACTAAAAATTCACAGGAATCTTGAGTTTGAGGAGAAATTTCTCTGAATTTTCCTGATTTTTCCTCAATTTTCTGGAATAATTAAACTGAAATTTGCAGTTCCAACAGATGTTTCCCTGAAATTATGAATATTCACTGATAAAAATCCTTGAAATTTCCGTGGAAATGTCACTTGCTAGAAATTTCCAAGATTCTTGCCAGAAATTTCAGTGTAAATTTTTTAACAGCGAATGATGAAGTACTGCAGAAATTATTGAGAAAATATTTGATCGCGGAATACCGCGGACGAATATCGAAATATGAAAAAAAAAAAAAAGGCGGGACGAAATTGAGATGCCGCGAGTGAGATGAATTCCTTAGTTGGTACGACATACTCTGGAGTATCTCGGGTTCACAGGGTGTGGAAGAAAAGTAGGTGGGAGGTGAAGCAGAAACACTGAAAGATCGATGAGGGCTTACCAACTGTAATATGTTACTTGGCGGATAGTCTCGATAGCGCTAACTGGCCACTAAGTGAAAAATCTAATTTCTTGAATTTTTCAAGGCACTGTCGGATTGCGTTAGGTACATAAATTCAAACCTCGGGGATAAATTACAGACTTGACGATTAGCAATTTGAAACCGGTGGAAGTGGTGAATTCATTAATTGATGAAAAACAATCATGAAGTTTGAAGTTTCACTGAAAACTCAGTAAAATTTCAGAATTTTAAACAGCACGAAGACGAGAATTCCTTAATTTATTTGAGTTTCTAATCTAATATGAATATTCAATGTCAAATTGCGTTGAATTTTCAGTGAAAACTGTAATTTTATGATTTATTCCCCCTAAATCGGATTCAGTGTCACTGTCCTGAAAATTCAGGAATATATTCACCAGAATTTCCGGTTTTCTATTCATTTTCACGAAGAAATAGAACTGAAATTGACAGTTCTCTTTTATTTTTCCCCAAAATTCTGAATTTTCAATTACGAAACTCCTCGAAATTCCAGTGCTAATTAAATTCGCTAAAAATTTCCACCGCGTACCGAACGTTTCAAACGAATTGATCCTCCTAAAGCACCAATTACGCTGGTGTCTCCGCACAAAATCACTCCCTCGCTCCATTGAAAATTAACGAATGACGTTGAACTGATCTCCTGCTAACTTGAAACGAAAAACCCAGACGAAGACTGTGAGATCGATTCACTCGACGGAGTGCCAGCTTTCCCTCCCGCCTCGAGATCGTCGATGAGCAACGACGGCGGAAATTCGAGAGGGCGAGGGAAGCCTCGCGTGGAGTGCTTTTTCACTGGAAATTTGTGCGTTCATTGATTGCCGTGAGAAAGGCAGCTGCACACTCGTCTTGAACCTCCACCAGGCACTTTGCCTCTCGATTAGTCAATGAATGCCTGATCCTACCCTTCTCTTCCGGCGTGATGTTCCGTCACGTGTGTCTATAACCCTTCATTCCCTCCCCCTCCCCCTCCTGCTCTCACTCTCTCCTTTGCTGCACCAGACGTATAAAAAATTTTTTTGTCCCCACCACTAGAGACGGATGGACAGGGTGAGGGATTTCAATTGAGAGGGCACTTGTAGTCTTTCAACGGAATACGTTGGGATAATGTGCTTGACGAAATCGAGAGACGCCTGATACCGGCAGAAGGGGTTGAGGGGAGGGTGAGGGGGAGAGGGTGACAAAAAGAGTTGTAATGGAGTCTCGTGTCGGTGACGTCTCTGTACTTTCCAGTCAATTCGAGAATACCGACTTGAGGATATGGATAGGAAGTTATGGAAATCGCTGACGAGCTGGAGGACTTTGAATTATTTATCTCAAAGGGTCGAAGGGGAGGACGAATAATGGAAGAGTTCGAGAGTCATCGATTCTCTCGGTTTCATCGACTTGTCAATTCCAGAAATTATTAAGGGTTTTTGCGAATTGATTTAAAAGTGGAGTTCAGTTGATGTTTAATGAAAGCTCGGAATTCGTTGCTTCTTGTGATTTTTGTCTGCAGGGGGATTTGGAAATTTTTTATGAGTCTCCGCAGCGTCTCGGAAATAGTTAAATGAAGTCGTTCGATGCAGGAGGATTTGACTGTTGAATTATTTTTATTATCCCTGCAGAATTAAAATGATTAAAAAATTGTGCAAGAGTAGACGTTATTCTGAGAAGTTTTCAGTCGTCGATTTCCTCGGGTTCAGCAGGTTGTCAATCTCCGGAATTGTCAAGCGCTTGACCGAATTAATTTAAAACTCGAGTTCAATTGAAATTTAACAAAACTTCTGAGTTCGTTCCTTTCTCGATTTTTATCTCTAGAAAATCGTGAATTTCAAACTTCTTGATGAGTTCTTTCAGCATCTCAGAAATATTGAAATGTAGTCAGTCAATGCAGGACTATTCGACTGTTGAATTATTTTTATTATCCCTTCAGGATTAAAATGATAAAAAAATAGTGCAAAAATAGAAATTATTCCGTAGGTAACATCAGAGGACGAGCAAAAGTTCCAATAGTTTCGTGAACATGTCCAAAAATTCTGGTAAATTCATAAATATTCATTCAATTCACAATTCACCATATTTAGGTTCTGACTATTCGCGTTCTTATAAAATATTTTCCCTGAAAATAAATAGTCAACTCAATAAAATTCAAATAATTTCCACTCAAATTTCATTTCTAAAAAATAACGAATAATGCCTGACGGCCTGACGCAGTGGGTAAAGTCATTGTCTCGCGTGCGCAAGGTATCGAGTTCAAATCCCGGTCGGGTAGAGTGACGAGATCGAATACTCAACCGATTCGAAGCGTTGCAAAATAAAAATAAAAGAAAAATAAATAAAAAATAACGAAAACTATGGAATTGTTGCGGATGAAATCACATTTCCTGTGTCATAATAAACTCCACAAATTCGGTGAACAAATTGTCGAGAAAAATCGACTAAATTGCCACCAGTATCCACACGTAGTCTAAAATTTAGAACTCCTTATTCGTCTATTCCCACCGAACCTGAAATTACAATGTACATTCGGAATAATGAATACCTCCTTGAAAGGAATGCCAGCGAGTGAAACGTGTCAAGAGGAAGAAAGGAGTGACAGAGGAAATGCCCCGTTGTTTTGGCCCCGTAGAATGCTTGAAAGCTGGTGGGGTACTAAGACGTGGGGGTGGAGTTACTCACGAGCTATCGGGTTCACGGTTGAGGCAAGGGTAGAGCGCGCCGAAAACCACCAAGACGGCGTTTGAATAATGCAGACTCGAGGACTCGGTTAAAATTGATCGAAAATCCACCTTTTCCCTACCTCTGTGATTCTTTCCCCCCCC